ACTCGACACTAAAGAAAAAATGTTTACTTACAAATGTATATGTCATTTAATAAAAACAAGTATTAGTAGATTTTTTTTTTACTGGATATTACAATTCATCGCTTTTAAGGCTTTTCTAATTTCAAGTATAAGTGGTCCAAGTACACTGTTAGCCTATTTGATCAAAATTTATCAAATACCTATACTGCTGTTACGAGACACTACCGTACATTACTTTGATATATTACAATGGCCGTATATTTTGTTTATCTTTGACAACATTTTTATGGTAACTGGAGGTCTTGAATGTGAGTCCTAAGGACTAAAAGGTTGCTGCGACCGTAAGCTTATTTGTTAATATGCATACCTTCTAATCTCAGGGTACCGGGTTCGATTCCTGTGACAGCAGATTTTTTTCCCTTTTTCTCAAGACACCACGGCAACTCCACTCCACTACCCAAACCTCGTAGAGAGACTTCGCTGATTAAAGGTTGCGTTATTTCATTTATTTAAGAGGGCCCTAAATATGTGATCCGACGTTCAAGGATATGCTGAAAGAAAGGGTTACCCATTAAAAAATATGTTTAAAAAAGCTTTGCGATTGTCTACTATTTATTTCATTAAATACAAAGTACAGTAGGCCTACTTTTTAAATCTAATTTCATAATTCATCCTTTTTAAGGCTTTCCCAAGTTCCAGTATAAGTGTTCGGAGTATAATGTTGGTCTAATCGAGCAAAAAGAAATATGGTCAGATTTAAAGAAAATTTGTGAATCATCAGGTGGTTATCTTGCAAGCTTCACAACTGTCGATGAATTTGACGCCGTACTCGATTACATAAGAAATAATTACCCAGACGGAATGTATGAGATCGGCTTATCTCGGCAAGCGGGTTTGGATCGGAATGTTGATGCAAACTGGAAGTGGGAAACAGGAGAGGAGTTTCGTTCTTCTATTCAATGGGGAGGTTCAGATCCTGATTTGAGCAGTTCCAAACAATGTGGGGCTAGGATCGAAATGACCACTGGTTTACTCTGGGATATTCCTGCTACCAATAAAAATCCCAATGCCAAATCGGAAGGATACATTTGTGAATATGGTAAGTATTATGAATTAATAATATACATATATTAATATTTTATAAGATAATATTAAATGAGTTTTCTACAAATTATTTAAATGGTCGTTAGTAAATGCAAACTTAAGAAATCATAATTTAAACACGATTCAAAACAAACTGTAATATTTATCAAATATTATTGATTCGAAGTCAATTTTTCCTAACAAAATCATTATGATTTTTAGTATATTCTTAAGTAGAGTCTGTGTAACACTATTAATTTCATTGTTAACCATGAGCTCCCACAATTTTCCTAATGTTTTATTCATATTATTTTTGCAAATGATATTCAATAATAAAAACACAGATACTTAAATAAAGTAAATAAAACTTTAAAAGATCAATTTTTAATGATTTTTGCAATTTAATATTTAAATGTATTACATAATATTTAACTGCGTAAGCCTATGTTCGAAAAACAAACATAAACTAGAAGTGTTAATTTGTATGATTCATTCCCAGATTCACTGTATTTTCAATCTGTGAAGAATCGTGGAGTCACTATGGATGCTTCGTACATGAGATGTGCGCTGCGGTGTCTGCGACCTGTCTCTTATACACATCTAGATGTGTATAAGAGACAGCATTAGCACTGTACGGGGGGTTGAACCATATAATGTTCCTATTGCGTGGGCGAGTAATGATGGTAGAATCGATACCGTGATTTATAGATGATCAAATAGTACATGACAACAATGTATTGTAATTGTACCTTATTTTATACCTTATTTTATTAAGTGACTGGGTCTAAAGAGAGAAAAAAAATTGAAATTGAAAAAAAATTATAGCAAACATTGTGTTGGCTTGGCTGAAAATAAAATGAAATACAGAATGAATTTATTACATAAAATTAAACAATGTAAACTAACATATGTTAATTTCAAGTCAATTTTAATAATAATAATAATAATAATAATAATAATAATAATTTTATAATAATAATAATAATAATAAAAAATTTATTATAATAATAATAATAAAAATGTTATTATAATAATAATTTTATAATAATAATAATAATAATTTTATAATAATAATAATAATAATAATAATTTTATAATAATAATAATAATAATGATGATAATGATGATAATGATGATAATGATGATAATGATGATGATGATGATGATGATGATGATGATGATGATGATGATGATGATGATGACGATGACGATGACGATGACGATGAATGATGACGATGACGACGACGACGACGACGCGATGACGATGACGATGACGATGATGATGATGTTGATGATGATGATGCACATGCTTATGGTTATTGATATATGGACTAGTATAACTTGATCAGTGACTTTCTTTGCCCTTAATGTTCCCTTCCTGTCTGTGCTACCCGGTAACTCAGTTCCAGCAACTCTCGTCGTTCACCGTACACCGGGGTGTTCCCCTACCGGTTCTCGTCTCGAATGATGTAATGGGTGGTTCTTTATAGTGCACACGAGCAATTGTGTACACTGGACCTACTGTTTGTAGTCCTTATCCGAGAAAACATGTTTTACCACCATCAAACCATACGCGAGCGTGCCGTCCCAACAAGCGCCGATGGCTGTAGGTTGCGGCGCCCTGCCTTTACCGCGCGGCCATTTAACTTACTGCATGTGTCATGTGTATCTCATTGTTTGAACTTGAAAATTACAACATAATGGAGTCGAACGTCGTTCTTTTTCAGTGTTATTTTTGTTTTGGTTCTTTAAAAGCTTGGTTGAACATATGCCTATTAACACCGCGATAAGTTTTTCATATGAATATGTCTGAAAAGTAAAGATTACTAGATATCACAAGGAACGCTTTTGAAGTCTTGGAAATCCACCAAGATTAGTAGGCCTATATGAAAATAATGCACCATGTTACAAGCACCAACTTAGCGAATTGTTGAAGAATAGCATCAATGTTAACAGAATGATCTTCATCGTGGAACTGTTTACCAATTTACTTGTCGACTAACTTAAATAGTAGTGTAAAGAGAAACCTAATTTACAAAAACTCTCTCTAGTCTATCCGACGAAATGCCGATGAAATCGTTAAACCAGTTCAAATAAAGAGAGTTACGATACGTTTTCGCATCATCTCCTCGCATCCGTGTACATGCTACCTTTAGACCTCCGTTCATCGAGCAAGTTCGATGACGTCAGCTTGTCGGATATGCTTATTTTCACTTCGCCGATGGCCCGGACGATATCTTTGTCAACCGAAGATTGGGAAGACGCCACTACCCATCTCACGGCGTTCTTGTACGTGCTCAGACGCTGGTAGAAGTCTGCGAACATGATGTGATCGCAAGTACTCGGAAACTCGTAATACCGAAAGTCGAATACCTGATCCTTCGTCGCGTCCGGCAACGGAGACCAACTTCTTACCACCCCTTTGCTGTAATTCGTCATTGCAGCAAGGTCGCGTATCAAAGACGATCTCGTTCCAATAGGTAACATCGATGGCGGATGCGGTTGCGGT